GTCCAAGTTTTACAAAATCAGTTCCATGTGAGTCCGTCCGGGTGGTTACAAAGTTTTGCAAGCTACTTCATGTCATTGACACGAAACGTCACGATCAAAATAAAACAAGAATAAAATACTGTTCTTCAGCGGTAACAAATAGAAAGGCTGTTTTTTTGCCTCGAGAGACCTTCTTTATCAGCTGCAAGAGGGATACACTACTATCAGGAAAACCAGATGCACTTTACAGTGGTCGTACTCTGTTGAACTTTGAAATTCCATGACTTTCCAGGTTTTCCATGACCCTTGTTACAAACCCAGCTTTGGGCTGCAGTGATACACCAAACTTAATTATTAGATTGCAATTTGTCAAAATTTATAGAATGAAGTTGGTGAATTTATACTTCTTATGGAGCAAGGAAAACGAAATTATGACAAAGTTGATGAAAGAGAGTTACAGAGGGGTAAAGAGCAGGAAAGGGACTTACTTTGTTTATTGATTGAGTGTAAGCCGATTAAAAGTCACATTTTAAGCCTTAGTGGCCTACCTTAGTGGTTTCACAATACCACAACTCCTTAGTAATTCTGCTGATAAATGAAGTTGACATCTAAGCTATTGGAGGCATAATATACAATTCCTGTCATTCTGTTAATTTACCTGATATTTTGAGAACTGTACATTTGTGAAATCTGTTGTCTTTATACTTAGCAACCTTCTCATTGTCTTCAACAGTAACATCAACTGATGGAAGTACATGAGAAATTCCATCTTCCAAGAACTGGACTAGAGTGAATTCTAAACAAATGGAATTCAAATAAACTCGATTATAAAGCTTATTCTACGAAAACTTGTTAATGATATATTTTATGAAAACCTGGTACATACACATAGATGTGTAACAAAGTGCCTAGAGACAAAACTGTTTTAAACTGGAACATAATAAAGGCCCGTCAGGGAGGGGAGAGAGAGGGGGGGCCCATATATGGGCTATATAGGTATGTGCCGCAGGATGGTGTATGGTTTTTGAGGTTGTCAATCCTTAAATAGGGTATCGGTTTTGCCCATGTGAACGTGTTCCCAGCGTTATCCTTAGATAGGGTACCTAAATGGTGTCAGCTAAAATTGCAGGGCAAAAATGCCTAGCTAAACGAAAAACATGATCTGTTAAATCCAAAATATCCATTACAAGTATTATCAAAGATATTTTATAAAGATTTGCGTCGTGCCGTGTGCGGTTAGCCGTTGTTTGGTTTTTGTTTTCCCCTTGAATAGGGTGTCATTTTTCGGGTTTGGGTCCTAAATAGGGTATCTTTTTCGTTAGCTTCATCCCTAAACAGGCTCAGGGTTTAAGACCGTTCACTGCACACACCTACATGTATCTCAAATTTACAGGAGTGCCCCCCACCCCCGCAGAATAAAGGGTTAAAGAATTGTCCTCTTTGTTGATCTATTTTAATTGAAATTCAGTCACCTTGATGAAATTTATTTCTTGTGTCATGGGAAACTTTATGGATCAACTCCTATATACTTAGTTGTGCAAACTTTTGGAGTGGTATTTCCTGAAATACCCCACAAAAGACTTGATTTTTCAGTAAAAACGAGCCTGTCATTGTTGTTGTAAGAATGAAACCACCTGCCAGATTATAACAGTGCGGGATTTTCCGATTTTTTTCGCCATGTGGCTGTTGCAGTGCCGAATTTTTTCCGGTGGTGCGGTCATGGTTCGTGATTCAGCACCCCCAATGTCCCTCCCACTAAAATTTTTGTTGAAAAGAATTCACAGGGCTTGCAAAAAATGTACGTTGAATCAACCCTTCAGTAGGATTACCATGTGAAATAAAATGGATGAAGGGGAAGAGATTTTGCCCGTAAAATGACACCTCGGGCTGTAATTCTTTATCAAGGCAAGGCTTTCTTCCATTTACGTATACTGTACATAGACTGTCAATGAATATGAATATTAAAATAAGGTAAAATAAATCAAAAACATATTCACTTCAATTTGATTGTCAATATGTTAATATACCCTGGAGAGCAGCCTTTCTTTTATGTTAGGTTTGCTTTAATTTAAAAGCTCGTGGAGGCGAGCGCAAAGCTGTTTCCAGCGCTAGCCTACTCGCAAGTATGTACAAGGAAAGCTCTTACCTTCATCCTCGTATCGAGAATTACTTTTCCGATGCCTTGAACCCATAACTTTTGAGCTCTGTATGCTAGATTTTGTACAGTCTTTGTCAATTTCAAGCCAGCAAGAAACAAGCAAAACTGTGAAGAAATGAGATCGAGCAAAGTCTAGAAAGGCGGTTGTCTTGGCCATTTGGCAGTAAAAAGCCAGCCAAAAAACGTGGCTACCTGAACGACTGAGCATGCTTTCAAGAATGCCACTGAACTTTTGTCGTGGACGCATAAACAAGAGGTTACTAAGTTCTGTCCTGTTCGCTTTTTCGTTTGCACGACCTGTATGATGGCCTCTTCAAATTCCAGTTCTTCTTCCTCTAGGAAAGGACAGTAAATCCGAAGCCATAATGAAGAGAGGACATTATGGAAACTATATTTCCCAACCTAACGCAAAGATCCCTAAAACGACATTTTCCCGCATTTTGAACAAGTCAAAGATGTGGTCTGAAGATAATCTAACATGTGCCAGTGAAAACGTGTTGTCAGATAACAAAGATCTGGAGGCGAATGTGTTTGAGCCTCTTCAGAATGAGTTGACTTGTTCAATACATGCACAGCTATCCAGTTTCGTAAATGATAATCCAGAAATTTTAGATTCCAGTGGAATTCCTACCTGCTCACAACGTTCTAGTCATCTAGAGTCTGAAGTTCCAACCAGCTTAGGTTCATCTGAGTTTCAACAACCAAATGGTGGTTGTAATGTAAAGACACAGTCAAGATGGCTGACAAGGGAAATGTATTTATTCCTCATGCTTCATCATGTGATATATCAACACATAATGACTAGCTAGGGAGGGGAGAGTCTAACTCAATACATGCAATTTTATGTCACATCCTTCCCTTCGGAAACATAAAACTTGAAGAATAAAATAAAATAATATTTCGGCTTAAAATAAATGTCACTGTTCCTGGTTTAGAGCAAAATAACTCAACAACTGAAAACAGTCTTTGCAATCTCAGATTGGTCTATAGGTCAAGCCGGTCAGGTTTCACTACTCGTCTGCCGCTTCGGGTGACAATTGGACCTGCACTGTTCGCCTTTGCTGGTTCTGGGTGTTGCTCTTGGGACAGCATATCCTGTAACACAGTGGGAGCTGTAGGTCGGTTAGGTTCATCCCTTGGCGGCTCCTTGTCCTGGATTACAGTTTGGTCTGCTCCAGAAGACAGTTCTGCATTCAAACTACCATGTCCTGGAGCTGGGTAAACTCTTAGATGTTGCCAGTTGCAACGGTACTTTTTGCTGTCTTCAGCTTGCACTACATAGGATCTTGGTGTATGGTGATGTTTGACCACAGTGGCTGGCTTCCATTCTCTGGAGTCCGTCCAAGGCTGCAGTCAAACTTTGGTCCCAGGCTGAAGTTCCTTCATGTCCTTGCTTGCATGGCAGTCATGGTATTTCTTCTAGGTTTCTTTGGTCTTCTCCGGATACCTGGAGACTTCTTGCTGGTTGTTGCTTGCAGGCTGAAGCGGACATTCCATCACAGGCAACTTATTTCTCAGTCGACGACCCATGAGTAATTGTGCCGGAGACAGTTCAATATCTGGTAATGGTGTTGTTTGATAATCCAGCAAGGCCAAGTGCTTCTGATCATTCTTTTGCCACAACTTCTTGACAGTTTGGATAGCTCTCTCCACTTCTCCATTAGCCTTGGGGTAATGTGGTGATGTGGTGGTATGCTTAAAGCCATAATCTTTGGCAAATTCCTGGAACTCACTACTGCTGAACTGGGGACCATTATCTGAAACCACTTCTGCTGGGATTCCATGGACCCCAAACTGCCTTTTCGACTCCTCTACCACAGCTCCACTTCTTAAAGATTCCATCTTTGTAACTTTGAGGAATTTGCTGCGTTAGCACACAGAGTAAGTAATGTTCTCTGCGAAATTCAAATAGGTCGTTTCCTATCTTCTTCCAAGGAAGTGATGGTGGCACAGAGGGCTTCAGTGGTTCAGAGGGCTGTTTCTTGGCATAGTCAGCACACACACTACAATTGGTGACCATTTGCTCAATTTCCACTGACATTCCAGGCCAAAATAGTACCTCTTTGGCTCTCTGTCTAC